AGCAGTAGTAGCAGTAGAAGTAGTAGGAGTAGTAGTAGTAGTCGTCGTAATAGGAGTAGTAGTAGTAGTAGTAGTAGTAGTAGTAGTGGTAGTGGTAGTGGTAGTGGTAGTGGTAGTAGTAGTAGCAGTAGTGGTAGTAGCAGTCGTGGTAGTAGTAGTAGTAGTAGTAGTAGTAGTAGTAGTAGCAGTGGTAGCAGTGGTACTACTAGCAGTAGTAGCAGTAGTAGCAGTAGTAGTAGTGGTAGCAGTAGTAGTATCGTAGTAGTAGTAGTAGTAGAGGCAGCAGCAGTAGTAGTAGTAGTAGAGGCAGCAGTAGTCGTAGTAGTAGTAGTAGTAGTAGTAGTACTACTACTACTACTACTACTACTAGTGGTGGTGGTGGTAGTAGTAGTAGTAGTAGTAGTAGCAGTGGTAGCAGTGGTACTACTAGCAGTAGCAGTCGTAGTAGTAGTTGTGAAGAGACTTCGATTCCTAGTGCAACTTTGTTATCCTGTGTATGGAATGCCTTTGGGCTTCCATACAGAGTAGCTATGAGATGTGTATCAGTGTGACGATAGACATGGTGGGAAGCCACGTGCTACCCCAAGCCCAAGCCACGAGCTCAAAGAGCCCGAGGCGAAAGGTACAAATAGCAAACGCTATATCCTCTTGTTTCCCAGGTGACAGCAATTGCGTGTATTGCCCCGTGCACAGACACTTCGACTGCAGCAGCGAAGACGCAGAGAAAAGGAGTCCGAAGTTGCCTGCCCGGGTCACGACAGTCAGTCTCTTACAGCGGGCATCCGAACAACAACATAAAGCTCGGTGAGGTGAGCAATCATACCGCATATCAAGACCAAACCCTCACGCAGGTTATCAGCCGTAGGCTCTGCCTACACAAGAACTTTGACATCGTGTCAGTACACCAACAATGACATCTGGATCAAGTGCAGATACGACAATGACCTTTGGTGGTGATATGGCAATGCCAGCAGTCGCAGACTCGGCTGTTGACGAAGCAACAACTATCTCTGTGGATTCAGCGACCACAGAAGAAAGAAGAAAAGCAAAGCCATCGGAGTCATCACAACGTGTCAATCAGAGAGCAAGAGCGAGATCATTGCCAAGGACGTTGTCTTCGCCAAGATCTACGTCAACTGGGTCAAGGCCCAAGCCACTTGACAGACGCCCATCAAAGACGGTGATGCAATGTCTTCAATTAGCTACAAAGACAAAGGATCGTGAGATCAAGAGTCCGGAAAAGTCGAGATCGAAATCTTCATCCCGAAGCTCGTCGCGGAAAGCAACCAAGAAACCGTCTGAGTCTTCGCTACCTTGGGTAAGAAGACGAGCGGTTGACGCAGATCCTGTGCCCTTAGCTAGGAACCTGAGTCTTACCTCCACTGGCGATCATGACAACGCAGATGCAATGTTGGACAGGGCAACTCAGTCCCAACAACATGGTGGAGATCGCGGCAATCTTCAGGTTCTGAACATAGTCGGACGGACACACCATACGTCACAGACAGCAGAGGAAAATCGTGTACATCAACTACTTCGTGCTGAAGAAGAAATGAGAAAAACCCATGAACGTGAAGTTCAACGGCATGAGGAGAGTTTGGCCGCTATGAATCTGCAGGTTAGACAAATGGTGCAATGGATGGAATTCCATGAACAAGAAGATCGAGGTTCAGCTATGCGGATCGAAGAACTCGAACGACAACGGAATCTACTGTCAGATGCAGTTGGACATGTGAACCGACGACATCAAGAGACTACCGAAGAGTACGTTCATGTAGTGAGAGGCGTCAAAGAAGCGAGTTCTGCCCAACATCAGCGTGATGAACTTACAACAGAGGTGTTACATCAGGAATTGGGTCAACTAAGCAACGAGGCGTCACAGAGTTTCGCGAATCTGGAACAGCAAGCTCAAAGTCGTGAACACACCATGGCTCTGCAGTACCTGAAGTTGACGCACACTCTAAATGAGAAAGCTCATGAAGCTTTGAAATACAGGATGGAATCTTCAAGCAGGGAATCCGAGTTGGCAGCGACGCGAGAGACGATCGAGATGATCAAAGGAGAAGAACGTATGGCCAAAGAAGAGGCGAACAGTGCCATCCTTGCGGCGGAATCTGGGGTCTTTGCCCTACAGGACAGACTGAACAAGGCGGAAGTCGCAAAACATGAAGCCAACGTGGGAATGCAACAAGCTGAACTACACGCTCAGCAGGCCTTGGAGCGCGAGCGACCTATCACTGCTCTACACAGTGAGCTGGGCGAGCTACGTCTTCGACACAAACAACAGGAAGAGTATCTATCAATCGCGAAGTCAGCAAGCCTGGAAGCTCGAAATCGAGGCTGAACGTCTGAGAAGTCAGCAACATTCCCAGAGATCGTCCAACGCACCGTGGTCATCGAGAACTTCTGAGACGGGATGGGAGTACGTTAGCAGCCAGGTTAGTAGTCAGAAAGGTTTGTCATTTCCAGTAGTGAATGATGTGCGATCCCCTGACATCGGTTCTCCGGCGCAACACAGTCCTGTTAACAGAAGTAAAACCATCACTGATACTTGCGCCGCAATATCGCCCATCGTGCAAGATGCGAACATGGATCAGTCAAGTCCAATGTTTCCATCAAACGGGGTTCCAGCGTCGAGCACAGCTTTATCTGGAACAGAAGTTCGAAACAATCAACTTCGCGAACTTCTCAGAATGCGTGGTACGCAAGGCATGTCGTCATCATCATCGGCCAGTGTTCCACAGCAGTTAGGTGCGTTCACTGGGCAATCCAACAAGAATATCTTTGCGGAAGAGAATGATGACGAAAAGACGCAAAAGCTGATTGCACATTTGATTGAACAGGATGTTAGAAGGGTAGATGAAGTCAGAAGGCAAGACAAATCTGCACCCGGGGCGGTGCCAGTGGCTCGACCCGAACAGGTTTCGCCTCAGGCGAACTCTGCTCCATCTTCGTGCTCAGACGTCAACGGTCATTTGGAGAGAATTGAAGCAGAAATGAACAAACTTCGGCTTGGACTACGTGAAGCGAAGCGAACTGAGGAGCGAATACGCGAAGATCGTAGTAAGTATTTGGAGACAAGCGGCTGAGCAATTCCAACAGGAGCTTGACCAGGAAGGGGACGGAAACGAGGATGAAGAGTCTAATGAAGAGGAAATTTCTCCGTCCGAATCTCCTACCAACCTTGGTCCAGGTGCTCCTGGTGGCGGTGATGGAGACGATGATCAGATCCTAACCCTCCTGATGATCCTGACGAAGAAGGTGAGCATGAAGTAACATCTGTCAAGATATCCAGAAGGGAAGCGGACAAGGTTGTGGCTCAACCTTTTCCAAGAGTGACACACCTTAATAGCTGGATGTCACACTGCACCGCGAACGTTCTCAGTGCCTGCGCAGACCCGAATCATGAAGAATGGATCAGTTGGCTTCAGCCAGCATTCCGACCAAATCCTGACGTCGAAGCGCTCAACGAATCAGGGAACACCAAGTTCAAGAGCATTGACGTGAAGCTTGGCGTGGCTATGACAGCCATGATCAAAAGTGGTGGTGACAATGCACAGGACCTCTACTTGAACGTCAACCGCATGGCAAACAAACTCCAGCATGATCAGTCAAAGATGATCAAAGGAAGACAGATCATTGCTATGATGTACGAAAGTTTCAGAACTCGTGATCGGCTGGACATGATCGTGTCGCTTGACTACCTCATCAAGTTGCAATATCAATCTGATCAGAAGATGAACATATTCAAGCAGACGTGGTTGGAGACCATTGATCGAATGCGACCTGAGGACGTTCCGTCTGAAACCGCATTGAGGGATACACTCTACTCAAAGATCAAAGACTCGCCAGCATTGAAGAACGAGCTTTGTGAACTACGATGATCCTCCACGTTCGTACAGCAAGCTGCTCCACGTCGTGGACAGATGTATTCAGAGGAATCGAGAGAACAAGAACCAACAACAAATCAGTTCTGGTCTCAACTTGATGGTGACGGGCAAGGATGCAATGTCGGCTTTGGCAGCACAGACCAAAGGAGGTGGTAAGGGCAACGGTACCCCATCCAACAAGAAGGGCAATAAGACGGACAATGAGAATGCTGCCCCAGTTCTTCCACAGAGCAAGGCCAAGGCTCACGCTAAAGCCAAAAGCAACAAGGACAAGAACAAAAGCAACGGGAAAGATCTGAGTCAACGGATGGTAGGCCAAGCATGAAGCATGTCAGATGCAAAATCTTTTTCTCCGAACACGGCGAATGCAAGAACGGAGATAGATGCCCATTTAGCCACTCGAAGAAGACACCTGAACGAGGACGAGGCAACACTCCTAACCGGAGAAGAACGTCATCAAGTAGTCCGAGGTCCGACAACAAACAGAAGGTGTGCTTCAACTTCAAGAAGAACGGAAGTTGCAGTCGCGAGAATTGTCCTTATGCTCACATCAATCCTGCCACTCCAGCAGAAGGTGACAACAAGGCCGAGGCTAAGGCCAGGGCCAAGGCCAAGGCAAAGACAAAGCCTGACAAACCAGAAGCCCAGGCTGATGTAGGTTGAACCGCACATGTAACTTTCTCGAAGACTTTCAATCCCTTACTCTTCTTGGAGCTGACATCCATCTCCCTAATCTCGTCCTCGCCGTCGAAGAATACGATCTGTTTGACTTTGTCTGTCCCTGGAACGCGGACCTACATGTGTCGACCGCCAGGCTTGCCATCTGAAACCATATCGATCATCATTTGTGCTTTCAAGCGAGCCTTGTGCATTGAGAATGCAAGCTCATTCGCTCTGTTCTCGCTTTCGATGAGTTCAGTTGTGTTGACCTTGATTATCTCTTCACCACGTTCCTTGTAGGATCTTCTCCGGTCGCGATGACTCAAATGTCACATCCTTGGCAAATGAGACTCGTCTGTTCTCCTTCGGTTTGGCCGACCAAGTCGCTCCAACCGTCTCATCATCCGTAGAACAATCAGAGTCGATATCGCTGTCGATGGAGGAACACTCTGACTCTTCATCGTCTTCGACAGATATGCCTTCTTGCGCACAGCCGGAGCAAGAGGGTTCCATGCTCTGCACATTCTGAACGCTGGAGCTGCATTCTGCGGCTTGCCCTTCGCTTTTGCTTTGCCTTTGGCCTGGGTACGATCGAAGATCAAGTTCCTCATGGACACTGGTTGCGGGCATGATCTCCTCTCTCAACGGTTCTTTCGGTGGGAAAGAGATGCACGCAACAAGGGTATGGCTTTGCATGGCCACCCGGCAAGGGTCCGTTTATGATCAATCCGGATGGGAAGCGAATTTCTCCCTTTGTTCACGGTGACACTCCTTACGTTCGTGCAGGAAGTGAAAAGGTGTTAAACATTACTGCCAAGTAGGAGCCTAGTGTTTTCACACAGCTGAAATG